CAAAGCCCTTCCGCTCAGCAAAGCCCTTCCGCTCAGCAAAGCCCTTCCGCTCAGCAAAGCCCTTCCGCTCAGCAAAGCCCTTCCGCTCAGCAAAGTGCTTCTGCTCAGAGTTCTGCTCAGAGTTCTGCTCAGAGTTCCGCCCAGAGTTCGGCTCAGAGTTCGGCTCAAAGTTCCGCTCAAAGTCCTTCTGCCAGCAATACTTCGGCTAGCAGTGCTAATACCGAGAGCACTCCCGCTCCTAGTGCTTCTGCCCAAAGCTCTGCTGCGAGCAGTGCCCCGGCTAGTAGTGTCTCGGCTCAGAGTTCTTCTGCACAGAGTGCTGTTTATCAGAGTGCTTCCGCTAGCAGTGCTCCGGCTAGCAATGCTCCGGCTAGCAGTGGCAATGCTCCCGCCCAGAGTGCTCCCGTTAGAAGTGCTGCTCCGGGTCAGAGTGCCTCTTTTTACAACGCCTTTGTGAAAAGCGCTTCAGCTGCCAGCGCCCCAATTGTCAGTGCCTCTGCCTACAGCCCTCACATCGAAAGTGCTTCGGCGGCCAACGTACAGGGAATCAGCGCTTCGGAACGGAATTCAGAGACCAGCAGCAGAGTCATTACCGGTGTCCCCGCTGCCAGCGCATTTTCCGAGGCTATTGCTTCGGCCGAGTCCGCCGCTGTCAATTCTTATAGTGGATCGGCTCAGAGTGCTCCTCTTTCGAGCGTGCCTTCAACTGCTAGCTCCCAGCTTAGCAGTGCATCTCCAGCTGCCAGTGCATCTTTCAGTAGTGCTGTCTCGACTATCAGTGCCTCTTTTAGCGGTGCATCTTCAGCTGTCAGTGCTTCTTTTAGCAGTTCTCCTTTGGCCAACACTGCTCCAGTCATCAGTGGCTTCTCCACTAGCAGTGTTACAGCTGGTAGCCCTTCAGTCAGCTTTGCCAGCAGCGCTACCAGCGCACCGGCTCAGAGTGGACCAGCCAGCAGTGTCTCTGCTAGCAACGCTTCTTTCAGCAGTGCCTCTTCCACCAACAACGCTCCTTCCAGCAGCGCATCCGCAGGCAACGTTCCGGTCAGCAGCGCGTCTGAGAACAACGGTCCTGAAAGCAGTGCTGCCAGCACTCCAGCTTACAGTGCACCGACTACCAGTGCTTTCAGCAGCAAAGCCCCAATCACCAGCGAAATTCCAGCATCCAGCTCTTCAGTCGGCCAAGTCTCCTCCACGAGCACCCCAGCTAACAGTGCTCCAGCCAGCAGCGCTTCTTCTAGCAGTTCCCCCTCAAACAACAGCCCTGTCAACAGTGTCACCAGTACTACGGCTCAGAGTGCACCGGTTAGCAGTGCCTCTTCCACCGACACTCCTGTTGCAAGCGGACAGAGCAGCAGTGCTCCAGCTGCCAGTGCTCAATCTTCTAGCGTCCCAACCAGCAGCATCCCAACCAGCAGTATCCCAACCAACAGCGCCCCAACCAGCAGTGCATCTAGCAGCAGCCTCCCTGCCAGCAGCGCTGTCAGCACCTCATCATCCATTGCTCCGACCAGTCAAGCTCCCGCCACTAGTGCCTCAGTCAAAAATGCTCCTACCAAGGACACCCGTGGTCCTGCCAACGCCAACGTGGCTGCCAAATTTGGTCCCCATTCCAGCTCACACTACACAAAGTCCATTGGACGGTATAGCCATTACCATCGCCGCCCGGACCGGAATTCGTATTTCGATGGCGAAGAGAATGGAGGCCTCTGAGATACAATACGTTTTTGTGGAGGTTTTTTTCCACTGCCTGTCGCTACTACTTTACACCTTTACACTTCTCCTTTGTTGAAAATATGGGTTTTAGTGCATGCGTTTTGTGTTTCGTGGCTTTATTACTTAGTCTTTCTTTTGAAGTGATTGGTTTTAGGGACAGACGGAACGCGGAATTATACTAAAAAGCGATGGCGATGGCTATTATACTATTCTAAAACCTAGTTTTTCTTATGTACTCAATTATATCTGTTATATTCAATTTGATTAGTGGAATCAAAATTTTAGTCTTTTTCTTACTTTACTTTCGAATTCAAGCCGCCCCGAAGCTCTTTCGGAAGTAACCCTAATGATTCCAGATGTAATAGGAAAAACTATAACTAACATCAATATAACTAATTCAAACACCTGTTGCATTATCTAAGGCTACAAATTTAAAGCAACCATAGGACTTTTTTAGAAAGTGATGCTTTTCATGGACGCAGCAACAGTTAAGATTGTTCTTCAGCTGGTTAATTCCGAGATTATTACTTGAAACTATGGAGATCACATTGACTTTGAGAAGGCTTTTAAAGGTAGTAAGGGTAGAATTTCGAAAGAATTTTGCTTCTCAACCCATACTTATAATCTAGTGCTTCGTATTATCGTCTTATTTTCGGTTCCAATCATCTTCCTTTCCAAGGAGCACACCCCTTGAGGATGGACGATACTAAATCTCAAACCAGCGCGTCACAACCCCTGCTCCGTGACTTTGTGGGTTTACTTATATACATTCACTTTACCATCCCACTGAATACGATGCCAATACGAACGTAATATGCTCTAGAGTTTCACGGTTCAGTAAGTCTAAACATTGCTTTCAATATGTTAGACGAATGTCCACTCTCGTCTAAAGGTGGGGGCCAAAACTCCAATGTGGGCCAAACATCCCCCCTTTTGCAAACCCGATTAGCTATGATATCCGCAGGTGCGGAACATCGCTTGTTAAAACCAAGACAGGATTAAACAGGCCATTCTCGAAGTTTTCCATTCAGCCGGCACAGACGGATTTCAGCATCGCCAAGTACATAGCTGAAGTTCAAAGGATTCCCTAATTTGAATCGCCTATCTTCCAAGTCAAGGCCCAGTGATCCATCCAGATGGTGCTCATATTGCGCACTAAATCAGCTCATGGGTCGATGTGGCGTCCCTTCTTCCTGCCAATACCTGTCCTGTGCCATATTACATACGAGAACCACCACCCGTCCCTGACTCCTTAAACATTATTTCCATCCCAAGGGTATCTCAAAATCCCCGCCCACTTTCCCCCCTATTCTAATCCTAAACGGCGGCACCAATCGCGTGGACGGTTCGGTCTTCGCTGACGCTCGATTGCGTGACGACCTTGAAGTCGACGGTCCGAGTAATGCCATTGTCTTCGCCGCCAGCGCTGCCTAGAGTCCCAGATTCGGCGGCGTTGTGCATAAGTTCGACTTCGTCCTGGCTTTCTTTGTGTGGGATGTCTTTGATGCGCGAGCGCGACGAGTGAAGGTACGAACTTCCAGTGCCGTCGACGCTGGTGTCTTTGCGGTGGCGCGCGACCAATGCGGAGATGGCGGGGAGACAGGCGCAGATGAGACCAATGCCGGCTTCCGCGTTACTGTAGTCGTTAGAAAAGTTTTGGAGAGAGCAAAAGCAAACTTACCCTGTCAAAACCACCTTCATGAATACAATGGTTTGGTTCGGGTTCGTCTCGTTTTGTATGACCATGCCCAGTCTGTACACACTGAATGCGGTCGCAAGACCTCCGGCTCCCAACATGCCCATGACCCGGAACTTCTTCTTCGTGGGCATTTGCAAGCTCCATGTGAGAGGGAGAGGAAGGAATAGAATAACCAGATCGGAGAGGGAGCTAAATACGGCGTCGGCGATGAAGATGTTGCCTTCGTTCATGCAATGGTCCCACTCGCGCTTCCAGTACGCGCTGATGGGCGTACACATGAATATCTTAATGAACCACGCAATCATGTAGTAGATGACTAGAAGGCCCATGACGACGTAGATGCCCCAGACTTCTTTTTTGTAAGGCGCGAATATTCGAGTCGTGATAATGAGGAGAGCGAGTTTTACGAATAACGCCATCGGGTTGTACAAGACCATGGCAGCGTATCCAATCTAACAAATCAGCAACGCTCAGACAAAACGTCGTTGGTAACTTACCGTTAGGAACGTCTCCATTTCAAAGTTTGCGACTTCCCACTGGTTGTTGCCACCACCGTGAAGGCTCACTGAGACTGTTAGCGTCGAGATCGATCAGTGCTAAGGGTACACTTACGCAAAATTCCGCACACGCAGTATCCCATCATAAGAAGCTGTGAGAGTCAGTGACGCTCTAATCTGTACGTCGACGGCGAACCTGCATACCCATGAAACAATGCAAAAACCTGATAACGTTAGAAGAGTACTTCAAAACATGCGCAAAACTTACCATCATCCCAATCTAGAGCGCCTAGTTGCCTCCATCTGGAGAACATCCTCAGCCCAACGCATACGCAGATAGCGGGAAGGCATAATCCTTGGGTGACAAAGTTGACACCCCTGATGATGTCTTGAGGGTTATCGAGGTTTGGCGTCACATGTGACGGCGGCGACAAGGCAGGTTCATTGGCCGACATGATGGATCATTTCTGGAGGAAGGAATTCAGAGGTTGGAACTTGAGGTCTGGCCGTGTCATGTATGCCGCGCTCGAGGCCCCGTAAGTGGAGGCCCGGATCGGCCGGGATCGACTCACACTTTATTGTGCGATACCTTGGGAGCATCAGACTATGGTCGTAGGCGAGATAACAAAATCCGCACAGACTAGATCATCAGACGATAGCTAAGCGACTGAAGCTCAACATCAGACCGCGGGAGCGGGAAGTGGGTGGGGTCGCGGGATTTTGGCGGTCAGGGACGGGCAGGTGACAGGTGGCCAGCGCCGTGAGGAGCAGAGGAGCAGCATAAAAGTAGTGGGCAGCGAGTGGTTCTCCCTTAAGGTCGGTGAATGAGGAGCGGTAACATGTTCGTTATGCACGTGAGGACGACGCGACACGCGAGAGATCAGCAGGAACCGTCGCGACCCACCCCGAGGCGGCTGACAGTCTGAGTGGACGAGTGGGATGACGTCAAGAGGAAGACACTCCTGTTGCGGGATGTGGTGTCGCGGCCTGCATCAAAGGTGGCCGTTGCTGCGACCGCAAGGGCCTTGGGGGTATCTGGTTCCTGTCGGATCGACGTCCATCTGGCCAGGGCCCGTCCCTTTCCCCAGTCTCCTAACCCACACCCCAAAAAAGGCCCGAAATAACTCCTCATCCCTATGGCCCCACAACTCCCTAATAGCCGGGGACTTAATATAAGTTCTGACTCGGTCCATAGTGCCGATTTTAGTTCGCAGCTCCTCTCGCACGCCAGTCACCACTCTTTTCACGCATTCCGATTCGATCCATCACGCCGTCAACATGTCCGCCCCGGCTGGAACCAACTCGAAGCTTTTCACGCCCTTGCCAATTGCCAATGGCAAATTGACGCTGAAGCATCGGGTCGTCTTCGCCCCGTGTACGCGCAACCGCTGCACCCCGCTTCAGCGAGAGAGCACTCCCGAGAAGCCGAACCGAGTCTGGTATCCCAATGATTTGATGGCCGAATACTACCGCCAGCGAGCGAGCGATGGCGGCCTTATCATCAGCGAGGGAATCGCTCCTTCGTTAGAGGTGGGTAGCTTGCGAACCGAACCGACCCATTCGACCGCTAGCCACTGATCGGCATGCTGACGCGGAACAGTCCAACGGCATGCCTGGTGTTCCTGGCCTTTTCGTCCCGGAGCATCGCGAAGGCTGGAAGAAAATCACTTCTGCTGTGCACTCGCAAGGCGGCTACATTTACGCGCAGCTGTGGCATGCCGGCCGGGCCACCATCCCCCAGATGACTGGCACGGACGCTGTCTGCTCATCTTCGTCCTCCTGGGATGATCCTAACGAGCCGTACCTTTTCCCTCCTGTGGGTAGCACCAAGCTCGTCAAGTATTCCGAGTTCCCGCCCAAAGAGCTATCCAAGGACCATATCAAGCGGACCATCGAGGACTACTGCTCTGCGGCGCGCATGGCCATGGAAGCGGGCTTCGACGGTGTCGAGGTGCACGGCGGGAACGGCTATCTTCCCGAACAATTTTTGAGCAGCAACATTAACAAGCGCACGGATGAGTATGGCGGTAGCCCTGAGAAGCGGTGCACGTTTGTGTTAGAGTTGATGGGGGAGCTGGCGAAGGCGATTGGCGAGGAGAACGTGGCAATCCGCCTGAGTCCGTTTGGGCTGTTCAACCAGGCGCGCGGTCAGCAGAGGATGGAAACATGGGGTCACCTGAGCCGGAAGCTCAAGGAGCAGCTACCAAAGATGAGCTACGTGAGCTTCATCGAGCCGGTACGTCCAGATCTGTCGCACCTTGAACCAAAGCTGACTCGAACAGCGATATGAGCAAATCTTTTCGGAAGAAGAAAAGGAAAAGTTCCTGGCGAGCTGGAATCTACGCGACGTGGATCTCTCCATGTTCCGTGAGATATTCGGCAACACGCCCTTCTTCTCGGCGGGCGGTTGGGACGACAGCAACAGCTGGGGCCTGCTCGAAGCCAACAAGTACGATGCGCTGCTGTACGGGCGGTACTTCATCAGCAACCCGGACTTGCCCGAGCGGCTGCGGAATGGTAAGCCCTTGACCAAGTACAACCGGGCCAAGTTCTACGGGCCGATCGAGGACCCCAGTGGATACACGGATTACCCCAGGTGGGAGGAGGGTAAGAACTAGGCTGTAGATATCCGTAGGCCGTGCGCGTAAGAAGCGAAATCCATATTGTTGCGCGTCACCGAGTGGAGCGACTGTGATGGGCGATGATGGCCAGCCGAGTTGCGGCCTTGAAACGAGAGGGCGTTTGATTAAGGTTGGCAGCTACCGGAAGGCCCAATTGCCGAGGCCCGCTCTCCTCAGCCTCCCGCAGCCCTGAGAGCCGCCCATCCGCCTCCACCCCGCACGTCCGACTTCTTCCATTCCATCACTCCATTGCGACGTATCTCGTCATTATTCGCCCGTGTCTGTCCAAAACTCCAAACAAAATGCCGATCGTGCCGCGGCATGCGACGTGGCGCTGCACCACAATACTAACCCTTAGTATTGTCGCCCTTGCGATTGTCCTCGCCCTTTAACCCCAGCTTCGCAGCTTTGTTTCGCAGCGTAGGCCTTTTTTTCTTCCTGCCGATTCTCTTGCTATTGTCTCTCCAAAATGCCGTCGCCTATAATAAGTCCCCATGTCATGCCTGCTCCGACCGGCCTGCCTTCCCGATCAAGCCAATAGCGAACCATCATAATGCATATCGGCATCTCCCCCGTTTTGGCCCTGGCCACCATTGTCACCGGCTTCGTCGCCGCGCAAGCTCACGGCTCTTTCAAGCAGCTTGAGGATCACCATTCCCTCAACGAGCGTGCAGTCCCCGACGTCGCCGTTGCTGACGTTTATCCCGCTACGGACGCTACAGAAGAAGGACCTCCCCACGTCTACACACCTCAAGACCCCCCTCCCGCTGAGCTTGCCAAGCGCGCCAACATCGAGTACATTGGACACAATGGTGGATATGGAAAGGGCGTCTATATGTGCACTGACAAGAATTGGAACGGAAACTGCTGGCATATATCTTTGAATGCAAGGTCGTGCTGGAATCTGGGAATAGGCTTGGATAAAAAGGCCTCTAGCGGAGGGCCGGACAAAGGCTACATATGCTACTTTTACAAGTAAGTTCATGTTCCCCCAAGTCAATGCTTCTATACTAACGCCTAGATAGAGAAGCGAACTGTAAGGGCGACTATAGGGCTTTCTATAAGCCCGGATTCAGTGACTTCAAGGGTATCGATTTCAACGACAAAACGCGTAGCGTCAAATGTCATAACACCTAAACGTGAGAAAGACGTAACATGTATGAATAGATCAGCATCTGGTTAGACCATTAGTCAACAGAATCTGAGTTTTTCTTACCTTGATTCCGTCTTAGACTGCAACAGATTTCGTGCACGTGTTGAGAGAATGTCGAGAGTAATGATCTTCTTTACCGTGCAACGCTCGTATTCGCACTCGCTGGACACGAGATTTGCAGTGTTGGGCACGCAACAGATGATTTGATGCGTCCTCTCTCAATGTCAACCGAGAATCACAAAGCAACATGTTTACATAGAACAGTTCTTCCGTCGGTTGCAAATTATTCCCTGCCGTCTTCTATTCATAGGGTGGAAGTCTAGAGTCCGTTCAGCATTGATAAAACTCCTGTAATTCGCTCCGTGCGCGTCCACAAGGCTTCCCCACCATGCAAAGACCACCGCGATCAGGGGCAACAAGCCACAAATTCCGCGCGTCAGCTGGTCAGCATGTTTTCAAACTGTGGTTTCAAGCTTCCTGGTTTTGTTTGATAAGGCCCCAAAGTTTTAATAATGGCGGGACTACAAACTATGTTTTTTCCATTGGCATGGATAGTCCAGTACTCGCTGCAGACGGATGTGCAAACTCCAGGTCGCATATTGCATGCGTCTGGGCCATTATAGATAGTAGAAAATATCCATCGTCTTACTTAAAAGAACGGCGGTTAAGTTTTTGTAAGTGACAGCCCATAGTGGAGTCACAGGAAACAAAGCAGTGCACCGAGCCGTCTCGGAGACAATGCCAGAATCACAGCCAACGATCGACCGTTGCAATAGATAGGAACAAGGGGAAACAGGAACAAAACCAAGCCAGAAAAAAGCCTTTCCAGGACAACGTACATTGCCATCCTCCGATAATTCAACAATCTTTCCCAACCACCGGAAAGACCACCGGAAAGTGTAGTAAGGATAGTATAAATGCGGACATGGAATCGAGACTATATAGTATATTCTTTACTCTGTCCGCAGTAGCAGCAGGCCCGAAAAGAGCTTAACAACATCGTAAAGAAAGATGGCGAGAGTGAAGTAGGAAGCAAAAAGGCAACACCAACCGGTCGATAGGCCAAATGGGCGATAATAGCCAGACTTGCGGATCTCTCGGCTGTGAGAAGGAAACGCTGAGCATACATGATACAATGACATTCTCAAGCAGCATGACCATAAGCACGTTTCTATTAAACAGATTAAAAGAGTGACTAAATTCTTAATAACGAAGGTTCTAGTAGTGCCACTTGTATCACTACTGAATAGACCGACTCGGGACTCGGAGATGTTAATGCCCTTGAGGTGATTTAACTTTGCTTAACAGCTGCAACCGCACTTGTCGCAGTTCTTGCCGCAAGGTTGAGACTTATTACAGTCGCTGTAGGTTTTGCAAGTGTACCACGGACCGGTGCCGCCATCACTAGCAGTCCAGCACCATGTGCCCTTGCCGACAGTTCCACAGGTCCTCCAGCAATATCCTTTCGTGCATCCATATTCGGCGCCAAACCAGCAATCCCTTGCCTGGAGGCTGGGAGCCTCAACCGAAGTGTCATTGGAATCCTCCATTGGCCCCAAAGATGTCTCAGCCAAGGGGCGGTTGCGGCCGAGAGGATGATTAGCACACTTGCGGACGTTGGCAGCATCAACGTCCTCGGGAATGTTGTCGATCGACATGACGCCGAGACTGCCACATTCAGCTGCGGTGTCAGAGACGGCAGCAGAAAGGACCCGGGTAGAGGCGGCCGCGGCAAAGATAATTCCAACGTAGAACTTCATGGTTGGAGTCTAAATGAAATTAGTCCGACGAACTAATTTTAAAGAGGGAGCAGTAGACCTAGATAAGGTGTTGGGTAAGACCGTTAGCGTAGTAGCAGTTGATTTCTGTCGATAATGTTGCTTCGAGAAGTAGTTAGGCAATAGATAGAAACTTAAACAGGTCTACGGGAGGTCGAATTTTATACCCTTGAACATGCCGTTCGCACTTCGGCTCATTGCCGACTAAGGTTTTACTTATTACCTACCTTGTACGCCATCAGGTTTCATGCAAATGGCTTCACCTTCCGTTGTTGCTAGTGTAAGTAAGCACTAACGAAAAGTAGTTGATGCTAGCGTTGATGTTGCATTGCTATGTTACGTATAAGTGCTGCGAAGTACTAGGCATGAACATCTTATTAACGCTTATATGTGTTGTGATTTGAAGCTTTTACGAGAGATCTTTCTCGTTTACCCCCTTTACCTAGTTTAGCTCTTTCTAAGGAATATAGCATTGAATACCAGAATAATATATAAAATATCTCAGCCTTATCTCTAATCATTGTTACTACGTAACTTCTACAAAGCGGAAGTCGACAATAGCTAACGGCAACGGTAAACAGCCGTAACCACAGTACGCTGTTAACAGACTGCGTTGGAGCTAAGGTAAAGGGGGGAGGTTAGGAAGGAAAGAAGTAGCAAATACGATGTTATGATAAAAAGTACTACTAACGACCATCGATGATGCAAGTCGCCTATCCGGCTTTATTCTCCAATTTTCTCGACTTGGATAGGCAGCACAAACCGGCAGCAAGGTATCACTAATATATGCTGTAACACATACCAAGGATTCTACACGCGCGTAACGTTACATTCGCAAAAAATGTAAATAAGAGATAAAAAAGTAAATGAAAAACAAACCCTACTATGCGACGCAAGCCTTGTTTGTTACAGTTAAGCGCTTACAAGATAGACCATTCTAGGCAAAGGAATAATTACAGTGTATAGTAGAGCAGGCTAACCTTTGTTATTTTGCAGATTTAAGACGTTAAAGATCTAATGCTGCTGTCACAGCAGGCCAATCAAGCGGTGCGGCAGCAGACCCCAGAAGGCGACATGCGATCGTAGCGGGCGCACAAGCGTCGCATCGAGCGACCGCTGGAGACCCATGATAATACCGGATCGCACCCAGATGTCGCAGAGAGCAGGTATCGCAGCGAGGGACCGTAGCAGGCATAGCAAGAGAGAGTCGCATGTTCGAAGTGTGTAGGGTAATAAGGGTTTGTTAGTGGTTGATATTGCTAATGCGAGAAAAATTCAGACAGGCCTGGGCCGCCTGGCAATAATGCAGAATTAGAAAAGTGCTGAAAAAAGTAGCTAGTTTATGCATAACAACCACGCACCTGCTAAATTAACCACGGGCGAGATTATCCCGTATACTCGGAAGAGCCCTAGGTTAGCTATAAACCGCAGTACGAAGCGGAATCTTACACATCATTACCGAATTCGATTCTAACCGCAGCTGCGTGGCTGGCTAGCTGTATTTCGAGTAACCACTAACTAATCTTTACACTTATATCCTACGGCTGGCGGCTAGCGTGTATTTAAAAAGACATAAGCTGCCTAAAACAGTAGACGCTAGATAATTCGACTAGCTATACTACGACTAGCTCTCGTTCCGAAATTCCGAGAGCACTTATATTGCACCGATTAGGCGTTGCATACAATTAGTCGTCTAAACACGTGTTTTAGACGTCTATTCGCACCGAATAGGCGCGCATAAGTGTTACGTGCATATTCCACTGTTTTAGTCGTCTATTTCGGTGTTGTAGGCCGAAGTGGGGTAATATCTCGCCTCAGGACTAACTTAACCCCCTGAAGCGATCCTTGTCCCCATTATATAAATGTATTAACACCGACCCGCGCCTGCAGCGGTGCGTAGGCCCGCCTGTTTATAAGGCCTGGTTTAACTATAAAAAAGCAAAAGACTAAACACGCGTTTATATATCGTAGGAGGCCATTTTTCGCCTATAAAACGGGCTTGAGAATGTACTAGCAGGTTAGTAAGCTTTAACGAATTCTTTAGTTAACTAAGCACTTATCTACTTTAATCAAATCATGTCTTCTCTATCCCCCGCTAACCCCGCGCGCGCTGCTAAGCGCCCTACTAAAAAACTTACGAACCATCAGAAGGGAACGTAGCAACTAGCGCTCCTAGGGACCTAAATC